TCACATGCTGCTTATCCATCCATGGGTGGGTACTTGGGTGGCTTCCAGCTTCTGGCTACTGTGAATAAATGCCCAAGAGCACTACCGTGCAAACATCTCCATTAGACCCTGCTTTCATTCAGTTCCTTTGGGTATACCACCGATGGGATTGCTGGGCTCTATGCTAATTCTACTGTTAAGTTTTTGAGCACCTGCTGTCTTCAGGGCTGTGCCATCTTACACTCCATCATGAATTGGTGTTCACTGGTGCTTGGGCCTCATCAGCCTATATTTAGGTTGACTTTAACACACAAATCTGCTCCCCCCAACACATACACACATTTTAATGTCTCTGAAATGGGGAAACAGCCTATAATTAATACCATGTCTTTGTCTTAGCTTGCCATCATTTTTAATCCTTTCTTAGGGGTTCATAAAAATCATATCCTTCTCCTTAGAGAAGACTGTGCTAAAATGATTACCTGACCCCCTTCGGCTCATGTAGAGCCCTGTGGCAGTGGAACCTTAGGGAGGACTTAGCTCCCAGCTGACAGTCAGTGACTCCCTGTCTCTGCGGGGCTGCATGCCCTGTTTTCCCTGGAGACTTTACTATTCATGTTGCATATAGCTGGTTTCAGCTGTCCCAGGTCTCCAGCATGTCCCCTCCTTCCTGGCCATCCCCTTTGAGTCCAGCTGTGCTGTCACCGTCCCTTGTCCCTGCCTGTCGACTGCAGTCGTCCCATTTGCTCTTTTTGAGTCTGCCTGTCTTGCTGGCCTGCCGGCCTCCAGCCCCTCTCTTGATTGAGCCTACTTCTAGGACTTTAGCCAGTGAAACCCGTTTCCTCCTCCAGGTCCCCGGGGCCCACCCAGCCCAATTCCTCCACTGGCCTGTCACCTTTTTGAGTATTTCCTGTGACTTCTATTTTTTCTCCCTTAATCTGTTTTTCTCCAATTCCCCTGTCCCCAGCTGGAAGCCTCTGCTTTCAATCCACTTCCCCCTGATACAGTCCCCCGCCCCAACCCTTCCGCTCAGCCCCTCCAGGCAGATGCAGTGTCCTCTGGTCCTGAGGCTCCCTGTGATACTCCACCCCCAGTGATGGGAACACAGAGTCCCTGTGCCACCAAGACAACTTGCCACAGCTTTCCAACCAGACCCTGGCTCCCTTGTGACCCTGTCTTCACCCTGTGGACCTCCAGGTACTTAGAAAATTGAAGCAGACCCCCTGTAATTGGCTGGCCTCAACACTGCATGAGGCTTTCTCCTGTAGGAGCCTGTGGAGGGGGGGTTCCTTCAGAGTTCAGTTGCCAGCTCAGCTGATATAAGCTTCCCCTACCCCTTCCCTGTATGTCCCACACCAGTTCCGCCCACGAGACCCCTAGCTGGGAGGACACCGTCTTACTGTCCTTCTTCCCTGGCCCTTTCTCCTAACCTCTTTGTACCTGGAGGGTCTGTTTTGGATGCCTCACACCTTTGCTGCTCAGGAGAGCCTGAATGGCTGGAGAGTGATTGTCCCGGTGCTTTTGGTGTTTCTATGGTGATGAGTTCTTGCTGCAGGATGTGGGAACTGGAGCCCACAGGTGCAGGGTACCCTCACTGGACCAGCCCACATCCTTAGCTCAGCTGGCGAAGGAGGGGAAGTCTCCTCGAAGCTAGCACTGGAGAATGGAGACCAGAAGGGTGGGAAGGGATGATTGAGATGTTCCCCACTTTGTGTCAGCTAGAGATCAAGTCCTTTGTGTCACCACTGAAGGCCTGTCTGTAGGTAGGAGAGGGGACTTGGTCCTAGGGTCCATGGGATTACAGACTGAAAAGCTACAGTCATTTATCACAGTGTGGATTAGTGTGTCCACTTGGCACACTGGAGTGTGCAGGCTTTGGGGGGAGCTGCCATAGGTGTTTCATAGTTGTGTTCTTGTGACCCAGTGTACAGCTTGGAAAAGCAGATGCTCAGAGACCCTTGGTGAGCTGAGGCTGCACCTTCTCCTCATGAGTTGACAAGGCTAGAGTTCAGCAACTCCTCTTCCTGTGATTTCTCCCCTGGCATCCCTCTCAGAGACCCCAGCCAAGCAGCTCTGCTCCTCCAGCTCCTTCTGTTTTCTGAAATGTGTGTCATGTGGGTACACGTGTGCAATGCATGTGTCATGTGTGAGTCAATGAGACTACGCACAGGTGAGTGTCTGAGGGTGCAAGTGATGAACACGGTACATATGTATGGATGGATGTGCGGGTGTATTGCTGCTAGATGTGAGGGTGAAGGTGTGTGCAGTTACCTGCGCAATGCTGTCACACTCTAGCAGGACACTCATGGGGAGGAGGATCAGGAATTTCCACCCCCTCTTTGGCACTTAGAATCCTGCAGATGTCTTTGTTTCAAAAATCTACCTGGTGATCAGTTCTAGAAGAATGCCAGAGGTAGTCAGGCCCTTGGGTTGCACTGTTGGACTGCCTTGGTCTGGAGGAGCCAAGGAGGGCCTTGCTTTGACCCCAGGCCAGCCTCCTGCCTTCCCTTGGGCATCCTGCCAAGCTGTTGTCCCATAGGTCCCTCTATGAGTAAGCAGGCTGGCAGGGGAAAAAGACCTGTCCCCTGGGGGTGCTAGAGGACATGGTGGTGCTGGGGGACACAGTGATGCTGGAGATATGGTGGTGCTGGGGGACATGATAGTGCTAGGGACATGGTGGTGCTGGGGACATTGTGGTGCTGGGGACATGGTGGTGCTAGGGATATGGTGGTGCTGGAGACATGGTGACACTGGGAATGTGGTGATGCTGGGGATGTGGTGATCCTGGTGATGTGATCATGCTGGGGACATGGTGGGGCTGGGGATATGGTGGTGCTGGGGACATGGTAGTGCTGGGCACAGGGTAACTCTTCCCTCTTCTCTAGGTTCTTTAGCAGAAGCTGTAGTTGTGAGCAAGTATGAAGATCAAGAGGGAAGAAAAGCTGCTCCCAAGGGCAGGCGCTGGAGGTTAGCATGCCTGGCAGCTGCAGGGCCATCGGCTGGAGGACTGAGAGCAGCTGCAGGGATTAGCTGGTAGGAGGAGGTCACAGAATCTAATTACAGCTAACCCAGATCACAAGGCCCTTTTGTGTACAACAATTCTGAAAGTGAGAGAAGAGTTAGTTTCTCTTTTAAATTTATTTATTACTTTGTTTTATGTGTGTTTGTGTATTACCTGCATGTGTGTGAATGCACCCATGTTCTGCAATGCCCATGGAGTCAGAAGAGGGCATTGGAGTCCCTGGAACTGGAGTTACAGACAGTTGTTAGCTGGCATGTGTGTTCTAGGAATCAAACCCAGGTCCTCTGCAAGGGCAACCAGTGCTCTTAACTGTTGAGCCATCAGTTCAGCCTGAGAAGAGTTACTTTCTGTCAGACACGTGGAACTGAAAGAAGAGTAAGGAGTGTGAGGGAGGGAGGTGTGTCCCTGGCAGCCGTGAACAGGCACCGAAGGCTGCAGGACTATGATCTGCCTGTGTACATTAGGCAGTATCCCCCCACAGCTCTGAGCACCTGTGAGTTGGGACGATGTCTCCTCTGATTCCAACTGTTCAGGTCCAAGCTGACTTACAGGCCCAGCCTCTAGCAAAAAGCTCTGTGACTGTCAGTATTATTCATCTCTGTATTTCCCAGCCCTGTTCTGTGCCAGGCAGGCATGGATCTGGGCACACTGGAAAGGACAAATGCGTTCTACTTCCCAGGCAGACTGGGCCAGGAAAGGCACAGCCTGGAAAGTAGGAGCTGTCGGAGAAGCTAACTGAAAATGGGCGTTGGTCCAGCAATGGGAGGTTGGAGAGAGCACCACAAAGAGGAAAGCCACAGCAGGGTGCAGAGGGCAGAGCCACCACAGGTAGAACCTTGGAGTCCCCCATAGGAAGAAGAGGTAAGGCTCACCGAGGGGATGGGACAAGGGGAAAAGTCCTTGAATGGTGGGGTGTGGGTGAGGGGTCTTTTTCTGCAGATACTGGGGAGCCATGGAAGGTTCTGGAGCACAGGTGGAATCTGGGTTTCAGAGCAGCCTGACCAGCAGAGACACAGAACACAGCGTGGTGATCTAGGATGGGAAAGGCTTTTTTAGGAGACAGTGAGGCCGCATGCCATGGACAGTGGGACAGGGGAATGGATACTGGGGCTGACCTGTGCCTCAGTCTCCCCTGGCAGTGGCAGCAGACTGAGATATCTACCTACTAGGTTCATCACACATCTTGAAAAGACTTGGGGTTGAAATGTCTTTGTGTGTCTAGGAATTGGAAGTCAGAGGACAACTTGTGGGAGTTGGTTCTCTCCTTCCATCATGTGGGTCCTAGGACTCGAACTTAGGTCATCAGGCTTGGCAGCAAACACCTTTACCACTGAGCCATAGCTTATTTTTATATTAAAGCAGACACAGAACATGAAGTGATGTGTCTTCCTTTGGGTTATAATAGACAAGATTTCAAGTTTCTTTGACTGCTTTTCTGACCCTGGGGGTTTGGGACCAGGCTTCCACTCCATCCTTCCATCTGACAGCTGGAGGAATGGAGTCAAGAGAGGTAGGAATTCCCAGGGCACTTGGGAAGGCCCCAGGGGAGGGAAGCATGCTGCCTGGGGCTTCTGACTATCAGTCTTCATTCTGCCTACCTACTTCTTTAGAAGAGAAAGAGGTAGCGGCAAGGAAAACAGAGCAAGGGACAGAAGAAAGGCTTTTGACTCATGCTTTTTGCCAGGTACTTTAGATACACAAACCCATTTGCTTATCACTGCTATCTAGATTGACTAAGCTGAATTCTACAGATGAGGGCCACCTCCACCCAAATTATATCATTGGCCTCCTGAGTCCCATGGGAACCAAGTGGTGGAGTTGGGGGTTAGAACTCAGGTTTTCTCAATGTCAAATCTTTGCCTTTTAACCCAGATGGAACTCATTTGGGGCACCAGGAAGCACTGCTATAAAGAAAGGAGGAGACAGGATATTCCAGTTCTATGAATTACCCTCTGATCCCTCTTTCTTTGTCTGTTATAGCTCCCTGGGCCACCACGTCATGAACAGCACCCTGGGAAACAGGGGGGATGCTTGGGCCCCGAGCCACAGGCAGTGTCTCCTACCCTCTGTGGCTCACACTCCCTCTGTCACCGAAGTGACACCAGCCAAGAAGATAACCTTCCTCAAGCGAGGAGATCCCCAGTTTACTGGGGTTCGCGTAGCTGTTCACCAGCGCACCTTCAAGACCTTGAGTGCCCTGATGGATGAGCTGTCTCAACGAGTGCCCCTGTCCTTTGGGGTGCGTTCTGTCACCACACCCCACGGCCGGCATGGCCTCAGTGCCCTGGAGCAGCTGCAAGATGGGGGCTGCTACCTCTGCTCTGATAAGAAGGTTTCTAAGACTCCCAGAGAGCCAGGCCGGCTGCAGAGGAGAAACCCCTCTGCTGTGAAGTCACAGGGGTCTGAAGGTGGACGTGAGGCACTAGGAACATCCTCTTCCTGGAAGGGTCCCTTGGCCCCCAGGAGGATGACACTGGTGAGAAACGGAGACCCTAGATGCCAGCAGACAGTGGTTCTCAGCCACAGGAACACCAGGAACCTGATGGCCTTCCTCAGCAAAGCCTCAGAGCTGCTGCATTTTCCTGTGAAGCAGGTGTTCACAATCACTGGGAAAAAGGTAGGCTGGTGGCCAGGCCCTTTGAACCCTGAGTCCAAATACCTAGATGGAATGAGGGAGTATTCTTGATTGCTCTGCTACTCATTAAAGGTGAAGAGAGGGCCAGTGGGATGGTTCAACGGATAGAGGTGCTTGTCACCCAGCCTGATAGCCTCAGTTTGATCCCTGGGACCCACATGGTAGAGGAGAGAGCCAATTCCATAAGTCCTCTGACCGCCACATGCAAGTACACACACACACACACACACACACACACACTCACACACACACTCACACACACACACACACACACCCACACACACGCACACACACACACACACACACACAACCCCCCCACACACACTCACACACACACACACTCACACACACACACTCACACACACTTTCCTTCTTAGAAACACACACACTCTCACACACACTCACACACACGCACACACACACACTCACACACACACACTCTCACACACACTCACACACACGCACACTCACACACACACACACTCACACACTCAGACACACACACACACACTCACACACTCAGACACACACACACACACTCACACACTCAGACACACACACACACACTCACACACTCAGACACACACACACACACTCACACACTCAGACACACACACACACACTCACACACTCAGACACACACACACACACTCACACACTCAGACACACACACACACACTCACACACTCAGACACACACACACACACTCACACACTCAGACACACACACACACACTCACACACTCAGACACACACACACACACTCACACACTCAGACACACACACACACACTCACACACTCAGACACACACACACACACTCACACACTCAGACACACACACACACACTCACACACTCAGACACACACACACACACTCACACACTCAGACACACACACACACACTCACACACTCAGACACACACACACACACTCACACACTCAGACACACACACACACACTCACACACTCAGACACACACACACACACTCACACACTCAGACACACACACACACACTCACACACTCAGACACACACACACACACTCACACACTCAGACACACACACACACACTCACACACACGCACACACACACACACACACACACATACACACACACACACACACTCACACACACACACACACACGCACGCACACGCACACACACAATTAAATAATTCAATAAATGAATGAATTTAACAATGTTTTTAAAAGTGAAGAGGGCGGAGGTATTACGTCAAATCAGTTAAGCAAACAGGTGATCACCAGGGCTGGAGACAGAGCTCAGCTGGTAGAGAACTCACCATGAAAACTTGAGGACCTGAGTTGGGATCCCCAGCACATGTGAAAATCTGAGCATGGAAACACGCCATCTATTTATCCTCCCAGCCCCGGGGAGGCGGAGACAGGTGGATTTCTGGAGCTCACTGACCAACCATCCATCCTTGATAATTTGGTGAGCTCCAGCTTCACTGAGAGCTGCTGTCTCAAAAAATAAGGTGGGGAGGGTAGATTTCTGACCTCCACACACATGTGCACACATGCATATACTCACAAACACATAATACACTACACACACAACACACATACGCACACAATTACACACATACACATAACGCAAAACAAGGCAACCTGACTCACATTCTTAGCTCCCATTTGGGAAATACTTGGTGTGTAATGAGCACTGACACACTATTCATTTTTCTTCAGTCTTCTCAATTGTGAGTTTAGTGTAGTAAACAAACCACTCAAGTTGCCCTTAAGCATAGAGATTTAACTCAGGGCCTTAGGGAACTGCTAGGTTTGAGCTTGGATCTGGGTCTACAGGGATGTTTTACCACATCCTTCAGGAAGGTACTGCCTTTGCTGGAAGCCACTTCGAAGGTTGATTTCAAGAACACATTGGTGGGGTGGCAGACAAGCTTAGGAAACAGCACTCAACAAGCTGCCATAGCTACCTCCTAACTCGAAGAATCACTGGGAGAAAGAGTCTGCTGTTGCTCCCTCAGCTGCTGTCACCTCCCAAGCCCCACAGCACAGCAACACCAGCCACACACAGGATGAGCTGGTATCTGCCAAGCTGCTCTCTTCCCACTCTTGACCAAGGGTGCCCAACTGAAGGAGAATCCAGCCTGTGCCCAGCCCTAACTGCGGAGGCTAGTGAGTGTTGTGTGTGCCTTTCTAGGTCTGGAAGAACATGAGTCTCCCCGAAAGGTGGGCATGGCAGAGGACGGAGCGGGACTGACCTAATTTGGTCTCCTCACAGTCTGTGCCTACAACTGCTCAGCACTGGGGCCTCTGCCCCACTAGTGCTTCTACTTACAAACCTGAGCTTTACTAGCTGTGAAGGCAGCTCTCCTTCCTACAGTCAGAATTTTATTTACTTATTAGGCATGCTAACACATGCCTGTAATTCCAGTACTCAGGAGGCGGAGGCAAGAGAATTGCAAGTTTGAGGCCAGCCTGGGTTATGTAGAGTTTCAGATTAGTCTCAGCTATGTAGTGAGAGATTTTGTCTCAACAAAAGTACAAACATATTCACTTTTTGCCCCAAAGTCTTCACATCATCATTGTGCCCTGCCTTCTAGTTTGGTCACAATCCCATCTTGCTATTCTCTCCCTTAAGCACTATCAAAGTTATTGACCAGCAAAGTTCCTTATATAAGAAGTCAAGGGGGCTGGAGAGATGACACAGTGGTTAAGAGCACTGACTGCTCTCACAGAGGACCCAGGTTCAGTAACCATCAACCACACGGTGACAAAAAGCCCTCCATAACTCCAGTTCCAGGGGATCTGATGCCCTCTTCTGAGGGCATTGTACAACATGGGTACACTTACATACATGCAGGCAATACACTCATACACATAAAATAAAATAAAAGTAAAATATTAAAAATTAAGAAGTCAAGTAAAAAGAAATTGGCTGTGGTATTGTCCTAGTTTGCTCTTCTATTTCTGTGATAAAACATTCTGACCAAAATCAACTTAGGAGAGAGAAGCATTTGTTTGACTTACATTTCCAGTTCACAATTCATCATCGAGGGGACTCCAGGCAGGGGCTCAAGCAGGAGCTGAAACCCACACCCTAGAGGAATGCTGTTTGTTGGTTTTCTCTCTGGCTCATTCCCAGCTTTCCTCCACAGCCCAGGCCCACCTGCCTGGGGATGGTGCTGCCCACAATGGGCTGGGCCCTTCCACACCAATCATCATTAAGACTGTCTCTCACAGATGCGGCCGCAGGTCAATCTGATTGAGGAAATTCTTCAGTTGAAGTTCCCTCTTTCCAGGTGACTCCAGGTTATGTCAAGTTGACAATAGAAACTAGCCAGGACAAATACATACCTTGGAGAGCTTTGAAGAAAACTAGGCAGCCTCCCACAAGGCTGTTGCTGATGTTTAAAATTCCCTTCCACTGTTCATCTGCTGCTTCTGCCTTCTGCTGGCTCCTCGGCCGATGGTGGAGTGACTAAGCCATAACCCTGGGAGTCTAAGTCCTCAGAGGCCCCTCCTGTATGGGGTCTGTGGTTAACTTTTCCCACTGCACATGGCGGCCTCAAAAGGCCCCCACCAGGCTTGTCCCCACTGTGAAACAGCAGCCTGACTTCCCCTTCATAACAGAACCAATCACCCATCCTACCCAGAAACCCCCTTTCTGCCTGTTGGTTCATCATCCTGAGAAGCCCTGGATGGCCAGGTGACTGTCTCAACCTCTAGCTTCCAGTTCTCTTGGGTCTGAGGCCTCCAAACCAACAAAGTCCAAAGTTGCTAGGACAGGAAGGAATGTGTACATGGCTGGGTCATAGACCTGCCAGCAATAAGGAGCCTCTCTCACTCCCAGGTGTCTGTGGAGAATGGAAGCAGCAGTCCATATCTGTTGACTTGGAAACAGCATCCCATCCTGTAGAAAACACCTCAACACCATAGAGGAATGCCTCCCACAGGTCTCACTATGTAGCCCTGGCTGGCCTGGAACTCTCACTATGTAGACCAGGCTGACATCAAACTCACAGAGATCTTCCTGCTTCTGCCTCCTGAGCGCTGGGATTAAAAGTGTGCACCACCATGCCCAGCTACTCGGTGAATTATGTGGGTGCTAGCCCGCTGCCGCACATCCTTTGCCATAAAGTCTTCGTGGATGACATCAGTGGTGAATAGGCATTCTGTAAGCCTGCATAGGGTGATATTGGAAGAAGGATGATGGGTGAGGAACATCATCTCTAAAACAAATGCCTAGTCCAGTGAGTAGAAACTCCCCAACAGAAACATCCCTAGTATGTACCTGCCGCCGTGACAGAAGGATGCAGCTTCATTAGCCTCTCACCAAGTGGCTGGCTGTGTTCCTCAAGGTATGATGCAAATCACAAGTTGAATGTTAGTTTCCACCCTTGGCAGAGCATCCTCTGAGAAGGCACAGTAGCTTTTGTAGTGAAGATAGCTTGGAAAGGGCAACCGGCGTTTTTGGTGACCACTCACCAAGGCCAGAGTGGAGATACTTTGGAAGTTTCTGCAGATTTCCTTGCTACCAGCCCTCCAAGCCTGGTCCTTCCTAGTTCTTGAGTCCCAGTTGGAGCTCCTAACCACTGCCCATAAATGGCTAAAGAACCTCTAGTCATTGTCTCTAATTATTGATCCCTCTGTAAAAAAAAAAAAAAATCAACCAAACTCAATGATTCCCTCGCCACCACCACCCCCCACTTTCATGGCCCCTGAGTGGATCTGTAATGCTGTCACAGCCAACTTCAGGCCATGTTGACAAACTGTAAAACTATTTGTGACTCAGTATCCTATAAGGTCGTCTTCAGTCTGCTGGTGCTAGTGAATGTCCCAGGAAGTCCCAGGTATGTGCTGAGGCGTTTGCAACCCAGTGGTCCAGGTGAGCCTTGAGTGGAGACACCAGCTCAGTTTCCTTGTGCCTCAGTCCACACTCCTTAGCTGTAGCCCTGCTTCAGCACGTGCTTCATGTCCTCATGGACCACAGAACATATGGTCCATCTGTATCCCAGCACCCAGCAGAATCCCATTTCTACATCTGAGATTTGGCTACAAAGGAAGAAGTACTTCTTTGGCAACTGCTGTGGAGGTGTCCAAGCCTCTGGCTGTCCTTGAATGGACAGTTTAGATGCTGATCCTGCCACTTTTAAGGTCATCCTACCAGTTGGCCTTTGCAAGTCTTAAAATGAGAATCTACGATGCACAGAGCAAGAGCCAAGTAGTACTGCACTGCTGCTATTACAGGATGGACCACTGTCATCACCAGTGATCACCAGTGATCATCACCAGTGTCATCACCTTCAAACCCAACCAAGTTGCATAACAAATTTCAGATTCCCACACTGAAAATTCACTGCCTGTGACATACTGTGTCATCCATAGCTCAGCACAGAAAGCAGAATTCTCTCTTGATATCTTCACCAGAGAGGAATTCTGATTAAAGTTTCAGTGTCTCAAGATTCACTGAAAGCCTGGAGGAGCCCAGACTGGACTGCCATTGAATTGACCCATCAGGGGAGACGCCTGTAGCTCACTGAAGGCGGTGCGCTGCTGGGGTCATCACTGGGATGACTGGGCTCAGTATCATCCCAGCATGGCTGATACAGCAGAATGAAGAAGGTGGTGCGTAGAAGCTGAAGAGCAGGCACCAGAACCATAAAAGGCTTGATAGTGAAGCAGAGGCCATCTTCCTTTCACTTGTGACAGTTGACATAAACAAAAGATGTCCAAGGTGCAGGTGTTCTTTTCCACAGATCCTGGATTCTACCTCTCTGTGGGGATAAGGGCATTGTTTATACACCAGTCCTCGCTGGAGAGTCTGATCTCCCCAAAATATGGCTGATCTATAAATGGATAGATCTGAGTCATGGCCATAGTTGTGAGATAGAGTCAAAGAAGAAATATACCTAGAAGTTTAAAAAAAAAAAAACTTCTAGTGAACTGTGCTGGAAGATAACACAGTTATGTGTGATTTGGGAGAGCTATGTGTCCTTTGGTTAAGTACTAAAGAACATGACTGTGGAGTCACATAGAGTGTTCTTGTTTGGTAAGAAACTGTCCAACTGTCTTCCAAAGTGGCTATACCATATGCTATACCATATTTCATTCCCATCAGCAACGAGTGAGAGTTCCTGGTGCTCCACAGCTTCCTCAACATTTGATGTTGTCAGGGTTCTAGAGTTTGGCCATTTTAATCACCATGTGGTGGTGCTTATTTGTAAATGTGTCTGCCTTCTATTTTGAGAGAACTGAAAAGAACACACTCCACACTTTAAATATGGGAAGGAATTCCCCAGCAAACTGCAGTTCATGCCAATAGTAGTGTAAGCCTTCAAATGTGCAGGGCCTCTGGAGCAGGGTGAATCCTCTAAGATGGTCCCTTCTTGCTGGAATAGAATCCAGGAGTGTAGCCTGCTCAGCTCTGAGCCAGGAGTCAGCAGGGACACTTCCTGTTGGTGGGTCCAGGGAAAGGGCAGAAGCCTAGACACTATTAGAGAGTTCAAGAAGAGAAGGATTGCCTAGGAGAACAAGGCCTTGTCCCCACTGCTCCACCCAGGGACAGTGGGTTCAGACTGTATTGGAATACAGAGTCAGACACTAGAGAGAACTCTCCACCTGGGAAAACTATAGGGGAGAACTCCACATGGGGGCTGTGAGTTTTCTGCTATGGGTGCTTTACAAACATGTTCCAGGGGAGTATATGTACACACAGGGAAGTAGCTTTAGGGCCCTGACCTTTCTTCCATGCCAAGTGACCTGTGGTAACAAGCTCTCAGCTGGTGGAGAAAAAGAGGCCATGCAATAGGATGCCAGCCACAGGCGAGTGATGGAAACATCATAGGGTATAGAGACCCACAATGGGATGTACAGGAGCCAGGGAGCTGGGAGATGGAGTTCTTCCTCCCTGGACTCCCAACTCCATTCTCCCTTCCTCCAGGTGGACTCTCTGCAGACTTTGCTGCAGGGCCCTGCTCTGCTGGTGTGTGCTGGGAATGAGGCCTTCAGACATACGGGGATAGAAGGAAGAAACAGGACGGGACCTTTATGTGGTCTGACTACAAGGACCAAAAGCGGTGAGTCAGTCTGGGGCTTCCAGGCTTCCTGGCACTGGATGGTGGTGCCATAGACTTGCAGTTATCACTTCTGGACCACTCAGAAAAGGTGCTTCGGCCTGGTTCTCAGTCTTCCAGGCATTCCAGGGTCTCTGGCTTCTTCCTCTTTCTATCACTCTTAACTGGGTAGAAAACCTGCTGGGCACATAAGAGAATATTGTGGGATTTTAAAACAGGAAAAATTTTAGCTCAAGGTTTCAGGATCTAAAATAACCGTTAAGAATCCCAGTGGGGGGGGTGCTGGAAAGATAGGTCTATGGTTAAAAGCACTGACTGCTTTTCCTGAGAACCTGGGTTCAGTTCCTAGCACCCACCTAGCAGCTAACAACCAACCATAACTCCAGTTCCAGGGAATCCAACTCCTTCTGGCATTGTACACATGATACATTTACATACATGCAGGTAAGACACTCATACACATAAAAATAACTCAAAAAAATTTTTTAAAAAGAATCCCAGTGGACATGACATCACGAAGGTGCTGAGCCCTGTGAGGGTGGCATTCAAGGTCTTCAGAGTCATGACTATCTTGAGCAGCAGCCATGGTCTGCAGCATGGTCTGCAGTGCAATGACAAAACATGCCATGACTGTGAACCATCCATGCAGACATGCAGATGGTTATTTGTTCATGCAAAAAGGCTGCACTGTGCCACGGTCTAGGCTTTGTTACTAGAATATACTTTGACGGCATTGTTCACAAGTGCATAATAAAACCTACAGCAAAATTATTGGAATGATAACGGGGAGGTTTTGGTGAGTGAACTAAGCACTCTTTTTTTGTGAGACTCCATTAAGAAAATGAACAACAAAGGTGTCAGCGACTGTGACACATCAAGGGCTGGGGCACAAAGACGATGGTCCAGGCTCATCTCCGGAGGAGCCCCTAGGCTTGCTTGATGCTTTCTTTTGCCCAGATGTACCCATTTGGGTCTGTCCTGCTGGCTGTGGGTACAATTTTTGCACAAATGTCCTGCCTTCCCATCAAGCATAGCTCAGGAGATGAAGTGAGAAAACCGGGGCTGCATTCTTCCCTAGGGCAGCTTTCCATCACTAGAAGCCCTTTTTCTTTTTTCCTACCCAGGGTGTAGGCTAGACTATCAGGAACTGGTACAGTGTATTCAGATCTTTCCCGGTCATCATTCTTAGAGCCTGACCAGCATGAGGAAGGTCAGTCACCATGACTAATCGCAGCACAGTTTACAGTTTGCCATCAGATCCCTGAGCTTGCCTCCTGTACTGGAGTTGTCAGTGAATGCCCACTCTTCTGCTCTACCTGTGATGCCATGTCTCTCCAGACCCTGACTATGGCTGGTGGAATGCAGCAAGCATTAAAATGGGCAGTGAACATTCTGTGCAACAAACTTTCTACACGGTAGCTTTATATGTACTAACTTTTATATGTAGCAAGTGCTGTGTGCATAGAGGCACAACCCAAGCTGTATTAGTTAGTTTCTTCAACAGATCAGGAAACAGCTCTACCCAAACGTCCCAGCAGGCCACTGGGAGCATGGAGGTTGGATTCAGACAATTCGTTCTTAGTTCTCTGTGGGTCCCACAGGTGCCTCTGAAGATAGTCCTTCTAGAACGGCTCTGCCCTTGTCTTGCCACTGTTCATGTTCTTCTTTATCCCATGCTGCCCAGTAGCTCACTGCCTTTCTCTCTCCTCCTACTCCACTGTGCAACAGGATACTGGGGACCAAAGGCCAAGCAGAGCATGATGCACTCGAGGTCCAGGTCCGGCAGCAGGCTGCAGCCGTTTTCCTTGCTGTCAGAGAGGTCTGGTCTCAGTGACCATCTTAAATCCAGTCACCCTGCTTGGGTGGGACCTGCCTTGAACAGGTACCCTCAGGACACTCCTTCCCTGCCTGGCCCCTTGGTGGCTGGTGATGATGTGGAGAAGAAGGTCTGCATGAATAAGGATGGCAGTCTGTCTGTGGAGATGAAAGTACGCTTCCTGCTCTTGGGCGAGGATGCCCTGAGGTGGTCCCAGAAGGTGGGGCATGCCAGTGTCTTTACAGCAGCCAGTGGGGAGGGTCAGGTCCTGGGGGAAGCTGACCCCCCTCTGTTGCAGACAAGAGGGCCACACTTGGGGCTTCTCAGAGCCTGGAGCCCAAGGACTGGGTCCCTTTGATGGAGGATGCCAGGGGGCCTTTGATGGAGGTCAGCAGCCAGGGCCAGGCTATGACATCTGGAGGAATCCCCTGACTACCCGCAAGGGAACAGGGCCAGCTCAGAAGAGATGGGAGCTAACCCAACTCTCCTGCTGCAGGAGCCACAGGAGCCAGGGGGCCAATGGAAGGGAAAGACATGTCAAGGACAGTGCCAGCCCAGCCTCAAGTCTCAGATGCCCTGAAAGTAGCCAGCCAGGCTCCTGCTGCCCCTGGACCCCAGAGGATGGGGTAGGCAGAGACAGCTTTTGTCCAGCCTCCTCAGTTTCTTCCCAGAGTGGGGCTGAGCTAGAAGCTGATAAAAGCCCCTGCTCAGAGGGCACAGGGCTCTGTGACTTGGGACAATGCCAAAGCCTGGGAACTAGGACCCAAGATATGGAAAAGGCTTTTTATGACACATCAGACAGTGCCCAGTCTCATGAGAAGTCTGGGGAGTGGGCTGGTCATCACAAGAGTGGCACGAGCCAAGCAAGGGCCATGACTTCCCAGGGTAAGGTCACCCAGGGTGATAGCACTTGTGTTCCCACCCTAAGCCCTTTTTCCTTGAGCCACATGGACCTTCATAAAGAGAAGTGTGAACAGGGTACTAGGTGCCATGAGGCCAGAGGTGGGTCTGTGCTAAGACTACCCCTGGCTCCAGACCATTCTGGCTCTTGGGATGCAGAGAGGGACATTCCCCCAGCGCCTGCCTGTGTCCCAGCCCAGCAGAGGAAGAGAAAGCAAAAGAGACCAGCGAGTGCTGTGTGCTTGCCCAGTGTCTCTGTCTGTCATCGAGTGACCCAGAAAGGCCAAGCCAGGCAGTGTCACCACTGCAGGGTCACCCAGGTCCCACTGGACTCACTCACAGTCCTACAAATACCAAGGCCGCCAGACAGTGGAAAGACCTGTACAGGAGACCCAGAGCCACAATATCCTCAAAACTCATCAGGTATCGGGAATCAGCCTTCCAGGGGCCTCAGAACACCCTTCTTTGGTTCCCTTGGCTTTCAGGACCCACCAGCAGTCAGCAAATCCACCATCACGTCTGTGAGTAACTCAGACCATGTTTCCAGTTTTTACCATCCTAGCACTCGCTCTGCAGAGCCAGCAGGGGACACCGAGTCGAGGCGTCACTCTGTGGCTCCCACACCTGTCTGTATGCAAGGGGCTGCTTCCCTATGAAATGAGGCAGGGAGCACCCCTGAACCTTCATCCTCTGTTTTGCCGTACAGATGGCCGGAAGCAGAAGATTCATGGACCCCTCAAGACCACTGCTGCTCACAGACTGTTACCTCCTCCATCCTGGGGACTCCCAGTGGTCAAACACAGGCCCCCTTCTCTGAGACCTGCTGGGTAGATAACAGCATCTGCCCCACTTCACCCAAGGAGCAACGTACTCTGGGAACCACCCTTCAAGCAGCAGTAACAGTGGCAGTAACTGCAGAATAGCTGAAGGTCACGCCGGGCTTGGGAGGGTTGTTCTGTGGAAGGCCCCTGGTGGCGGGGGAAGCCAGGAGGAGGAGGAGGAGGAGGGGGAGGGGGCGAGGAGGAAGAGGAGGGGCAGGGAGGAGGAGGGGGAGGACCAGGAGGAAGGGGAGGATCA